ATGTCTGTAGTCAAAAGATTTTTTTTAAAAGCTAAAAAAACGGTCCAATAAAGTCATTTTGCAATGACGACACTAATCAAATATATATGCACATAACTGAAAGCAGCTCAGAAATACATTTATATATTTATATATTATGACAGAGCGTTTGGTTGCTCTCTCTTTCTGCCTCATCATGGTCGGTCTGGTCATTTAACTCTGTGTTACAGCACAGCCTACTGTATACTATGTGAGTAGTCGGTATAGTATTGTGTTCTACTGTGCAGCACAATATGAGGCTGTTGTGTATGAAGTGTGTGTAGAAGAAAATATTTTTAAAAATAGATTAGATAGATCTTTATATTATATTTTCTTGATTTCTTTTTTCTTTTTAATTTTTTTAATTTTTTTTTCCTGGACTCTACTTTGGCAGGGCAGTGTGTGGTCATCAGGTGCATGACTCGGGGGTTCAATGCAGACACTGCTGCAGCTAATAGAGAGTGGATGTGAATCATTTTCTTCATAATGCATAAATGGAGCAGAGGCTGCAGTTGGAGGAGGGCCATTAATCACACTGTTACTTTAAGGACTTTTTTTGGTGGAATTGTTGCAGATTGTGGTGGTTTTTTTTTTTTGTTTTTTTGGGGTGGTGGTGGTGGGGGGGGCAGCTGAGACTTGAGGTAGTTCCCTCCTGAGACAGGTAGTAATGTCTGGGTGAACTGCAGTAACTGGCTGACAGTATGTGTGTGTGTGTGTATGTGGAGGGGGGTTAGATATTATCAGTCTGACTGGGAAAGACACCCCCCCCCCTCCCTTCCGTCCTCACTCACCCACTCTCCCTTACCACACACACTCTCATAATGGCAAACCGGTGAAACACTAAACCCTTTTCTTCTTCTTCTTCTTCCTCTTACCTGGGGCAGAAACAGGGGCCCTTCTTCCAACCACCTCGTAGGTCTCTCTCCTGCTTTGAATGGGAGATGCACATTCAACCTCGAAAACACCCGGTGTGATGCTTCGGTCGGTACCAAGCCCCGGCAGATAAGAGTCCAGTCTGCAGCCCCAGTATCCCGCGATCGGAGCGATTGTCACTTTGCGACAGTTACATGTGATTATAAGGGAGCTACTCCGGGCTCCACGCTCATTGTTGTGCACAGTGAAAGATCAGGCTGAGGAGCGGGGCTGTCTATAGGAACTGTCGGCTTGGTTTGAATGCAGCATGCCTAGCTATTTAAAGGATTTAAATGACCGTTGGAGGAAGGCAGCGGAGCGACGAGGCGTCATACGTTTCGCTGCGTTCGTTCATTCCTTGGGATTTCTGTGCAATATAAATCATGCAAACGAGCTTATCTTTCTCTTATAGTGTCCAGAGACCCGCTGACATCTGTGTCCGTTTATCCTTTCTCCACTGTCTCTCTCTCTCTCTCTCTCTCTGTCCGGGGCGGCTTCGTTCGGTGGGGCTAACTTCGCTCCGTCTTCTCGGTGTGACGACAAATTTCGCCCCCTACATTAAAATGTTGCGAATGTCGTAAAGCGAAGACGACGCCTTTCATCCCCACAGTTCTTCGCCCCGGCTCCGTTTGTTACAACGTAACAATGGAGATAGGAATTCTTCCCTTTATCCGTATATATACTTATTGTGACATCACATGCATGTCATGCGCCGGAGCATGCTGGGAAATATTGTGATTTTTTTCTCTCTCTCTCTCTCCCTCTCTCTCCGTTTCACTCCTTTGTTCACATGGTATGATGGGAGTATTAGGGCCACGTCAATGGGGAGATAATATAACAAAGTCGTAGTTTTATGAGAAAAAAAACACATTTGTTTACGCGACTGAAGTCGTTATAATACTAAACAAAAGTGATTTCGAGAATGTGAAACTTCGAGGAAAAAAAAGTACAACAAAGAACGGCAATAAATATAGAATTACAGAAACGGTAAGAGTTTGGGAATAAAGTACATTTACACAAAGAATGTCTCGGTTTTAACAATCAAATAAAAAAACGTCACCAGTTTTAAATCGTAATACGAAGAAAGCAGTGTGTGTTTGGGGTTAAGTATTGTGTATTATTGAAAAACGTGTAATATTTCATGATAAATGTTTAAAAATATATAACTGTAATACGAAGTACTGATAATTATGGGCAAATCAGGAAAATAAACAGTAGTTGACATGTTTTAAAGGAGAAATAAAAGAAAAGCAGTCATTAATATCTGTGCATCAAAATCAGAAATGTGAATTTTCACATAAAGTTGTGCTTTAGCATTGGTTCCAGAAACAAAAACAAACAAGAAAAATCTACGCAATACACAGAACTATCAGGAATACTAGCACATAGACAAGTATTCATGCAAATTTGGCAATATCACATTTCTTTTATAAATAAACTAAAGTTTGTGTTTTTGAAAAACAAAGCGAAAGGTCTAATTTTTCTTGGTTGTTGTTAGAATTTCATTTACTGAAAAACGTATAATTTTTCTTGGTTGTTGTTAGAATTTAATTTACTAAAAAACGCAGGCAGTATTAAAAAAAACTTGTTAGAATTTCATTTACTGAAAAACGCAGGCAGTATTAAAAAAAAAACAACTTTTTTTTTTATTTTTGCAAAGATTATGACAGATGGTTCCGTACATGGGTAAGTGTTTTAATAATGCCAACGGGACGAGGCTAGCGTGGATATCTATGATGACAAAGCTAATTTCATGTAAGCATCTCACTGTACTGAAAAAATACGAAAATTAAAGAACATGCAGCTCAATAACCAGCGCATGATTTAGGACTTTAAAGTGGTAACATCCCCGACAAACAAACAAACAAAAAAAAGTGACGATGAAATGCAAGGAAATTAAAACGCAGTATAACAAATTCTCTCAACGTAAATGCAACTACATAAAAATGTAAAAATGACCACAAGGACGCTGACGGAGCAGTGACAGTTTGCTGGTGTGATCATTAACAGACACAGTGTTGAGTCATGGTTCACAATGCATACGTAACAACCAGCAGCCAGTAGAACTAACAACCCCCGCCCCACACTTCCTTCCCCACTGTTACAAACCACAGAATGTCTGGAGTTTGTGAAGTTTCTGAGAATTTTCAGTAGTTTTCACTCATGTCCTGGTGGGTCGGTTGACGTGGTTGCTTAGAGCCGTTGTCTCAGCTCTACCTCATTTGCATACTGGCTTGACGTGTATCTCCCAAAGACAATTTAGCACGAGAACGAGAAATACCGCTGCATTGCTGACCTCAGTTTTCTACCTTGTTTTGGTTTCCACACATTTCCTTTTAAAAAAAAGACAATTTCACAACCACCGACTGGTGCTGAAGCACGGCCACAGCAGCGGGCCGCACCACCAAGCCTCGGCATGAAAAACATAAAGCGACAATGGACAAAAAAGCAATCGTTTAAGGTTGAAGTTGTCTGGAAGGAGGACACTTCACGGCGGTGTGAACAGAGTCACTCTCTCAAAGGTAAGACAATAAGGTACGTCGAGGAGAGGGGCCAAGGTGCTCGAGTCGCAGGTTCCTCTTAGCAGCCTCAACACTTCCACGGGGAGAAAACGAGAGGGCGATTCCCACATTTTCCAAGAACAGAGATGGAGTAGGAGGCTGTGGAGTCGCAGACTGGATCAGGTCTAAAGAAAAGCAACACCGTTGTCCTGCTGAGAGGTCACTTCAGGATGATGTGGTAGCCGTCACTGGTGTCGTCTGGAACGGGAAAGAAAGCACAAGAAGACAAACTAATGATGCTGCAAATGATGGTGTTTAAAATTAGAATGTATGTTAAAACGGGGATCCTCAACCCCCCGGTCTGGGGACCGGTGCTAGTCGGTAGGTCATTTGTTACCAAAAAATGTACTTCTGTTTTACTTAATTCAAAAGGAATCCAGTCATTCAGACTCTGATATTAACAAAATAAAGTCTAAAAGATGTTTCATTTTGAAAATATAATGATTCTCCGTGGTAACCGGCCGACCGGTCTTTAGTACAAAAAAGGTCAGGGACCGATGTGCTAAAAGACAGAAACTGAATCTGGATTTCTTACCTTTCATTGTGTCGAGAACAAAACACACTTCATCTTGGAAGTTTTGAATCATCTGTTAAAAGAAAGCGACAGTTTTTAGGGAGTGAGCTGACGCTGGTCTACTCACATGTTCGAACTCTACCAGAAGTGTTGAGTTAGGAAACAAACTCCTCACCTCATCACTGACGAGCACGTGGATTCCGGTGGGACCCTGTTTGAAGATCTGGTTTATCTGTCGAGGTGAGATGTTGAAGAGCTGAGCCAGTTTCTCCGTCAGCTCGGTTGCCGTCAGCTCCTCCAGGTAGATGGCGTGATAAACTGCATCAACGCAGAAAATACGACGACATCATCAACACTAGTCATTTCACACGGTTAATTATACAACGTTGTGTACAAGTGCGTCACTGAAGCTGTTTGAGAATTGATTACTGTGTTGTCAAATCATTCTTTTTTTTTCAACATTATATTTACTGACATTTTATTATATATAAGAAATACACACTTGCATAAATACATAAATCAATCAAATATGTAGAGCAGTGCCACATTAACAAAGGCAACAGCTTTGAACAGAACGATTATTATTTTTAATCTGATTAATCCAGGGGGAGCTGTGGATTAGTCATGATTAATCGTGATTATTGAGATACATAAACATTCCTGAACATGATTTTTTTCTGTACATTGCTTGAACAGAAAAATAAATAACAGAATGACTAAAAAATGACAAAAAATGATGAACCACGACTTATCGTGGTTTAAACAGACGATCATTTGGTGGATGTCCAACCCTGATTTCCACACCTACCCGAGTGACCCACGAATCTCACATGAACGACTCATATCTGTCCCTGCTGCTGGGTGATGACAGTGTGTAAAGCCCGGAGAGCTGCCTCATCAACCATGTTTGACTCCTAAACGACTTAATTACTTGGAAGCACAGAGATGAACTTACTAAAAAAAGTGTTGTTGGCAGCATCTCCGTTCTCATGTTTCTGCTGCTGTTCCCGCCCGTGCTGAGACTCCTGACAAACATAGATGGTCAACCTGGGCCGTACCACACTGCACACAAACACACAGGTCCAGAGAGGTACAAAAAATACATTTCAGATCAATGAAACACACGGAGTTATTCTGACAAAATTAACTTAACTGACCTTTAATTATAAACCAATCCATCACTACAGAAAAAAATGAATTCAAGTGTGTGGATTTATTTTCATTTGTACATAAGTTACAAACATTCAAAAAATATTTCTCTTAAAATATTTAATATGCTAATATGTTCTGTATGATGAAGACCACCCACCGTCCCTTCAGTGCGTTGAAGAGTCTAATCCCATCAGCTGGCCCACAGATCTGAATGACGTCCTCCCTGGTCAGCTTCAGCAGGTCTGTCCCTGGTGGAGACAAACAACAATGTCAAACACAAAAACGATGACGTTGACACTGTGACACCACTGTTTTTAAAATGGAGACAATTTTACCTGAGAAGTTGGTGAAGAGACGACAGAAGGGTGAAAAGCGGTTTCGTAGGAGCCACTGTTGTGCCTCCTGTGGTGTCGCTGTGGGAAGTAAATTCTGAGGAAGATAAAAAAAAATGTAATTTTAATCTATGGACAAAAAAAAAAAAAATCAGAAGACTGACTTACGCCTATGACCCGAAATAAAGGGCAAAAAACAACATGGCTACAATAGTTACTTCTATAACACTGTCACTCTGAAATGACTATGTCAGTTATCTTTTTATATAAAGTATCTAGTAACAAGTAGTTAATTACTTTTTCTTGAAGAAATGTTCCCAACCAAAACAGGAAGTACATAAAAAAATCAGGAAGTTAAAGTTGACTTGTACTTACGTCCAGCACTGGAACAACAGGCTCTGGCTGGTGATTTGGTGATCCGTTCCTGGAAGCAGACACATGCAAATCACACACTTAGTGCTTCACTGGAATCTGATCAGAACACAAAACAAAACTGCATGAGTCATGTAGTACTGGAGGTAACAGTAGAGCACTCGTACCCCTCTGCAACCGGGAAGCTGTTGTGTGTGCTGTTGAAGCCGGGGGATGGGGAGTTGTTGACGTACGTGATCTCAGGCCAAGGAGAGCACTGCAGCAGAAGAACACTAACAGTCAGTGGTGACTATTTTGTCCAGTTTTTTTCCCTTTCAGTGCGATGTTTCCTCACTGTTATCGTGTTATGTTACTGCACAGCCAAAACAAAAACTCAAAGATGCCCCAAAGCACCCTGGGAAACCACAGTGCTTTGGTTTACCTTACAGTCAGAGCTTCATACACACAAATCAATTTTAAATAAAATAAAAAACATATTAGTATAATGTGGGGATTCAAAAGTAGGGGGCAAGAGCCTCCTGGGGGCATGGAACTAATGTGGGGATTCAAAAGTAGGGGGCATGGAAATATTGTGGGTGGGCAAATACATTTTTACATTACAATCATTTTATGACGAAAGTGCAATAATTTGAGTTTGTTTTCTGTGTTGAATGTGAACAGCAGTTTTGTGGGAATCACGTTTCTGTAAATAAAGTTCAGGCACAAACAGTTAAGAATGTGTCTATATAGGTGAGGACAGCAATAGTTTCAGCTACAGAGAGGGGGCGCTGAAGAAAATGTTTTGAAACATGTTTTTAAATTTAATTACATAGAAAGAATACAACAACCAGAAAACAGACACATTAGCCATCCACAAATGAAGATTTATATCTGATGATGTCACCTCTGTCAGGATTGTAGTTTCATAAGATGGCTGGTACTTCTCCTTCTCCTGCGGTGCCCTCTTCTCCATCTTCTCCCTGTCTGTCTTCTGCTTTCTGTCCGCACCTTTGGGCTAATAACATGGAGTCATTAAACAGACGAGAACATTATTGGCAAATATTAAAACAAAGCAATATTTTTATTACAGGATATTGTGTATTTTTTTCCCATCCCTCATGACCCCTCACCTTGAAAACTTTGATCTGACAGGAGGCGGAGTGCAGATGCTCGGTGTACTCTCCGCCCTCGTTCTCCTTGAACGTGTCTATCTGAACGCGGAAAGGAACGCCTTTCTCCCCTCCGTGCTTACGCATAGTGAATTCTGTGCTTATACAGTGAACCTTGAAAAACAAAACAAAAAAATTAAAATTTCATTCAAATGATTCCAACCGTCTTATGAAACATGAAGAAATAAGCATTTGAACATTGGTTGTTGTAGTTGTTGCTGTTATTCCTGCAGGTGGTCCACATGTTCTGTGATGTTACCTGGATAAATACTGAGGTTCTTTTTGAAGGGTCCCAAAGGAACTCCACAGTGTTGAGCTGAGTAGGGTTAGCCCTGGGGTCGGTAATCCCAACTGACATGGGTATATCTGCAACGGAGCAGTTCAAACACAGCGTTGTCCAAAATGATGCTCGGGATATTAGCAATTTCACCTGGCGTTCTTAAACTTGCGTACCTTCTTAGTTAAACGGTCAGATATGCAGTACTGCACAAGTGTTACAGACGATCGATGTCTTTACTATATACTGAGGGTGCGTGGCCCTGGCCGCTGTCCACGCCCCAGATGTTTTATACAAACATCACAGTATACAACTTTTGCAGTTGAATATTCTTGATTTTCTGGTTCTCTATATTTGATGTTAATACTTCAAAAGAAAAAGGTTGTAAAAACGAACAACTGTACATATGTGCCTAAAACTTTTGCACAGTGCTCACCAAGGTCGAGGATGCGATCCCCAGGTCTGTTCCAACGCCAGCCTTCCAGCTGCTGATGCTCTGTGTACTGGAGCCGTCGGTCATGAAACACCACACGGATAATACTCTGCAAAGCCAAAGGATTTTTCATTATTATTAAAGCAACTTTTTTTTAACCAGGAACTTGTTCATGGAAACAGAAACTCACCTTCACCATTTTACCAGTGATTTCCGGAAGTTCTCCAATTTTCCGATTGTCAAGCATTCGAATTTCATAGGACTGACCTGTAATTTCAAAAGTCTGAATAATTTGCAAACTGACTGCATTCACTGCTCAGTCAGGAAACGAAACATTACAAAAAAATGTTTGAAATTTTTGGTCATTTTTTTCCCATATTCATGGCAAACTTTTACATTCTTCTTCAACAATTTACTTTGAATCTTCATAATACCACACAGGTAAATATTAATATTCTTAATAATTTAACAAAGACGTGAACCCAGGGTTTTCCAACCTTGGGGCATCATGATTGACAACTGCGATCACGTGACTGCAAAAGTGACAGCTACTAAAATGTGTTTCGGGTTGCCAGAAATTTGTAATGTCAAAATGGGGTCACGTGCCCAAAGAGGTCGGGAACCACTGCTTTAGCCACTCCCTTAGGGCATAATATATGGAGATGAATTACTGTCATAGTACTGTAATATTTTTCACCTCACTATACGCACAGACCAGGACTCAGGTGCTAACCTTGGTTGAGGTAGGTGAGGGTTTCATCGTGCAGTTTAACGGCTGGCGAGGTAGCTGCACACAGAACATACTGAAAGGGGAGGATCTTGTTGTCAGTGTCTGGAGGCAGGTTCGATTCCTCCTGTTTGAAGATGGGGACAGAAAGTACATCACTGGAGAGAGAGAAAGAGAGAAAGAGAGAGAAAGGGAGAGAGAGAGTCCGCACAATGCTTCATTAGGTTAATATGTTCAAGGTATCAGTGGTGAACCGTGCTGCCGGTGTAAAAGCCTCCAGGGTTTAGCTGATGTTTGGATTGTCAGAGAGTTCATTTATGTGTCATCACCAAATACCAACGTGTCCACAGAGGTTTCCGTCTGCTCCTCTCAACAGCAGAATTTCTGGAAATGAACGAGCTGAGTAGCTTTTACAGCCAAACAGACAAGAGCTCATTCAATAGCAATAAAACCACACTATAAATTGAGCCAACATTTGGAGAGATAAGTGTCTGGGTCAACAACATTTTATCTTTTTTTTCCCCTTGACTTAATCAATATATGTATATATATTTTAAAGATGGCATTACAAAACAGGCTCAGGGAAAACAGCATTTAGCGCAACCAAAATAATAAGGGAAATCTAACCAGATAAGCAGCAAAGAGACACAAATCTTAACAACTCAAACAATAGAATTGATGTTTTTTTAATTACAAACCAATAGAATGATCCTGACTGTGAGTCTTTGTGTTGATCCACACTATAATTCATTTAAATAAATTTTAAATTTATGTTCTTAATTTTAACATTGCACTTGATTATTTGAGAGATAGTGACTGACTCAAATGTAAAAAAAAAAAAGTGCAAAGCTGACTTGGACTGGTCTCTTTAAATGCAAACTCAGAAGACTTGATGCAAACTTTATTTCCGTGACTTACGCTTGACTAGAAACCTGACTTAGACTCTGTCCTGAAATCATAATGTGTTGGACTTAAAAAACTCAATTTTTGCATTTGCATCTAAAAAAAATACTTAAAATAAACATGTTCTATTACCAGCATGACAGTAATGCCACTTGAAATGTACATGAGTAAAACAAAAGTTACAAACAAATACAGTACAAAATAATAATTCATTTTGAATTAAAAAAAATTTAAAAATTAAATTGCAGCCAAACAACAGTTCATAGCACATCTATAACTCATACTGCACCTCATGCTGTACGCCCCAGCACCAAGCTCCTGGCCGATGCCTGACAGACTGGCATCGAAGTCCTGGACCAGTCCAGACTCTATCACTTCATCAGTGAGAGGCAGCTTCAGAGCCCACGCCATGGTGATGGCTGCGCGGGGACGTTGCAGACCGCACTTGTGCTTAAAACTTGAGCCAAGTTTTACACTTGTGTACCACAACCTTGAGTAAAAACAAATGTAGTTATAACGCAGTTTTTCTCACATTTATTAGTGTCTGCAGCCATACTGGCCGTGTGCATCTGAATACTGTAGTGAGTGCAGAGCAGAGTAAACAAAGAAGCCTGACTGCATGTAATTCAACAACGTGTTATGACTGTGAACCGGGTAGAGCACTTGAGGTCAGCACTTTGTCGACTACAGTCACGTTTCAGATCACCGCAGTCACTGCTGCGAGTCAAACAGCTCTCTGGAAAAATGTTTTTTAAATTACCGACCCTTTTTATGTTGACATTAGTAGAGCAAATATGGAGTAGCAGCTTACCTTTAGGTATAAATGCGCAGTTAGTCGCTGGCACTGCGACGGTTTCGTGCCATCATGACGCGCTCCTTCTGCCCAGCACGAAAATAAACATGTCGTGCTAACACTTTAGCCACTCTAACGGAGCGTGTGTCTGGAAGATGCTCGCACCTCTTTGCTTATTTCAACCTGGAATCGTCCAAATTAAATGTCACTGGGGGGCATGTTGATAAAGGAAACCCCGTCATTAACAGAGTTTCCTGGGGACCTGTTATAAAAGCTTTTGTTTGTTTATAGAGCTTTGCTGGGAAAGGGCTGAACAGTTAATTTCCGCTTTCTCTTCTTCGTGTACTGTTTTAAAGCAGCATTTTCTGACAAAGAGCCCAGCTACTCATTACCGCCACCCATTGCAATGACAAAAGCAACGTTTGTTCAAGGTCCAGTGTTGCTTTAAGATAAATGTGATAGTTTATACGTATTTTATTTAGTGACTTATGTTTTGTACCGAGCAGAGCTTTTTAAACCTCAAACTAACAAACAGCGTACGTGAAGTTTAAACGCCTGAATCTGAAAATAATGTATAATCTTTACAACAATCGTGACTCATCTATCCTGAAGCCATTTTCTAAATAATTCCGACATGACTGTTTATGAACGGGCAGATACGGGGAATCCAGGGCAAGCAATTAATAAAGATGGCATTTATTGAGTTATTTACAGCTTCTGGCAAAAACTGACAATGAAACCCATTTAATCTCTCTCACTCATTCACTCATTTATTTTGTCATTCATTCGTAGAACAAACACACATCAAACTCATGCTTACACCTAAAGTCGACTTAAGTGTCCATATCACTAGCAGAATTGTTTTAACAAAAACAAACAAACAAAAAAAAACAATCAATGTTGGCTTCTCATATTAAACACGAAGGCGAGATAAATTATTATTACTGTAATGAACTGTATATCCACTGCAATGTAACTGCACTGTTAGTCAAAAACACCAGGTGAAGCTTCCCAGTTGTTAATAAAGTGCAAATAAATTCTTAAAAAAATCAGACAAAAATGTTAAAACAACAGAAAAACAACCGTTTACTGCACTTTTAGACCAAAAGTCATAATAAAAAGCTCAACTTGTAAACACAAACAAGTTTCTTCACACCATTAATCACTATGATAAATATTTGGATTAGGTCTTGTAGAAAACTAAACAAACTGCCACTAATGCATAAAAATGTGAGTTTCTTTTTTTTTTCAACATTCAAACACGTCAGATGTCACCTGTGGTGTAAAGGTACATTTTACAAATGTGCTGTCAAATCAGTAACAGAGAAACAAAACATGGGAAAATACTCTCAGAGAGCAGTAAATACATTCAAGAAAGCATGAAAAGAAGAAGAAGAAAAAAAGACACATTAAAATGAGCGGGTGTGTTTTCTGGTATAGTTATATCTGTGTGGATACTTAGTATTACATACCAGGATGTTTTGAACATATGGGCGGTCACCATTGACTGAGTGGGTGTTTTTTGAAGATCAAGATTAAATTAAGGATTAGCATAAGGGTCAGATAAGGGTAAGGATTAGGATTAGGCATATGTTTGTAAGAGTACAGGTTTGGTGAGGGGCTAGGGAATATCAAAATGTGAAGTACTCACAAACACAACAAAAAAAACCAGTGTGTGTGTCACACATTAGATTGCTTCTACTTTATTATAAAACACAACGCTGTGTTTATTAGGATGTTATAATCTGTTATATTTCGATGATATACACCACTAAAAACAAATTTAATGAACCTAATCATTAACCCCATCATCACTGTGATTATCAGCGACACGTATCAAAAATGACGATTGTCGGAACATGTTTTGACCTTTGGGTTTCTACGTCTATTTGATTGTGAATTCTGATGAAATCTGCTCTGATTACTGACTTCCTGCCTGTAGCTGTCGTCGTATTGACTGTCATTCTGAGTAGAAAATATTAAAATCACAAGGTAAAAGCTTTGAAACATCTCTGTTGGGGACTCTGTTCTGCCACGACGACAAAAGCTTTGAAACATCTCTGTTGGGGAACCATTATTTAAACGTCAGTTTCGTTCAGTCATTCTGCCACGACGATGTGAGTGAAATAAAAGTGTTAATCAGTGCTTGACCACCTCCTCACAAGGACGGCCTGTAAAACCACTCGTATAAAAGTTAAAACCTTTGTTTGTATTTTTTAGTACCACACACTTCAGTTGGCTCCTCAGTGTATTAGGATCATGCAGTTTGATTTATGAGACGTGAGATCCTCTCCGAAGATTTCAGTCGGGTGTTTGTCTCTTATTCCATCCAATTAAAATGTAGTTATTTACAAATCTTTCTACATCTAGGTCCTTGTTGTCGTTGTTAACATCCCAGTCCAAGAAATCCTCCACACTCAGTCCGCTACTGAACCTGGAAGGCGTTGATCTTGCTCGTGTTTTTCAGCGTCTGTCGCCGGTTGCAGAACCACACTCGCACGACTTCCCTGTCATAGTTCAGCTCCCGTGCTATCTCAGTAATCTCCTGACCCGTGGGCAGGGCGTTTTTCTCAAAGTAGGAGTTGAGAACCTCTATGGCCTGTGGCGTGAAACTTGTGCGCCGCTTCCGTTTTTTGGACGGTTCGCCGCCGACAAACTCCATCAGATTCTGCTGGCCTTTCTGGTTCCAGTGCTCGGCCTCAGCCAGCCACTTCTCCAGCACTGGCTTTAGCTTCTGGGCACTCTTGGGTGTTATATCCAGCTTCTCGAATCTGCAGTAAAAAAAGAGTACTTCTTTCAGTGAGCACAGTACAGTTGTTGACATCCTGTGGTATTGACAACAGTACTAAATTAATCATATGGGTTTGTAAAAAGTGACAGTTGTTGACATCCTGTGGTATTGACGACGCATCTGAGTATGAATCTGTGGAGCATATCATGGACAGAGTCCAGCTTCTAACAAGATTGGTCACTCCGTATATTGGACATCATTAATGACCAATGACAAATGCACTCTTGCGTTTGAAGAAATGCCTTCAATGAAACACAGATGTTCTATAAAAAGTAATTATTTTACGACATCTTAAAACAACAACCTGAACAGTACAGTCATTTACCTGCAAATGGCCGACTGGCTGTAGGCCGGACCTTCTGTTGCGGTCAGCGCCTGCCCTACTTGTGTCTGAGTGAGCCCCAGGGACAGCCGCCGGATCTTGAAATTCTTGGCAAACTCTCGAATTTCCTCCAGATTAATGCTCTCCTCGCCGCTGACTACCTGCTGTGGTTCTACAAAAGTGAAGAGTCAAGTTAAAAATATCCATTTCCTCGCAAAGGATCTATGTTTGGAAAGGGGATGGAGGAGGTGTACACACTGTTCATGAGCTGGCCCACTTTTGCTATGTCTCCACAGGTGATGGGTACTGTGGAGGACAGTGTGGTGGCGCTCTTCAGTACAGATGGCTGCGGCGCTATGACAACCGGAGACTGAGTGACTGTAGTGGCTGCGGCCTGGCAGGGACAAATATATCTAGTATGACATGGATGAATGGAATCGCAAAAAAAGTTCCTGATTCAGTGAGAGCAGTGACATTTATGTGTTTGTTCACCTGTGTGTTCGGCTTGGAAAGTGTGGGCGGAGCCGTCGGTTTGGGAATGACTGCAGCAGAAGTCACAGCTGCGGCCGGTCCGTTCCCGACAGTGGCGATGATCTGACCTTGGGTGTTGAGCAGCAGCTGCGGGGTGACAGTCTGGAGCTGGAGACCCTGGAGGGGCAGGGTGGGAGTCGCAGCTCCTCCAGCGAGAGAGGCTGGGTTCACCAGCAGAGGGAGCGTTCCAATGACCTGGAACCGAAGCATTAAAAAACACTGTTTAAAATGATGAAAAACACACAGCATTGTTGAAGTAAATCATTTAGGGGATTTGTTAAAGCAAATCACACTGAACAAGTAACTTTCCAAAAAGTGATAAATAAACAAAACAACAGCAAATCTAATCATTTTTCAAACCACTTATCAGCTGGTGCACACAGCAGAGACGGCTGCAACAAGAAATATACATTCAATCATAAATAAATATCTAGGGCTGTCAGACAATTCAACTTTGTGATCTGATTAATCGCAGGGAAGCTGTGGATCACGCATGATTAATCAGAAATAATTGATTGATAATTACATGAACATTCATCAATATGTTTAAAAAAACCAACTGTTTTTCCCCATAAACTGGATGAAAAAAACAGGAAGAAATAGATGGAGATGCTGGGGATTGAACCCAGGACCTCATACATGCGAAGCACACGCTCTACCACTGAGCTACATCCCCACACTGTCTGACAGAATGGAATTTATAATATAGAAGAACGCCTTGAAAAATATAATCCACTTCAATTTTACAAACTTTCAACATTTAGCAATTATACATGAATATCACATGTACTGTAGTTACTGTAATATCAATGGTACACACCTGTCCCTGGGCATTTGCGATGATCTGGCTGGTGAGGCCAGCCATGTTGGTCATGGCTCCAGTGATGATGGGGGTGGAGGCGAGGGAACTCAGGAACTGTGGCTGCGCTCCTAGTGAGGCGGCGTTGATCTGGACAGAGGACGTGTGTGTGAGACTGACACGCAAAGGTTCAAAGGTTAGGACTGAGGGTGGTGGGACTTACGATGGCAGGGTTGAAGGACAGCCCCCCAGTCTGCAGCGCTGCCACAGATATGTTGGACTGAGAGACACTGGTTGTGGCCGGCGTGGCCGGAGTTTCCACCACCTGAGTGCCACCGACCTGGGCAGCGGCGGCCTGTGTGGGGTGAGACGTCACCTGCTGCACGGCAGCCTGGACCTGCTGCATGGAGGCGGTCTGAGGCTGGAACAACGTCTGTGCATTGGCCTGCAGCTGAGGATGGACTGAGCTCAGGACGGTTGCAGCTGAGGGAAAGGTCAAAGGGCAAGACATCTGTTATTATATGAATGTTGTTTAAAAACAGAAGGATTTCTGTGAAATCTGTTATTATATGAATGTTGTTTAAAGACAGAAGGATTTCTGTGAAAATAATAATTATTTTCTTAACCTTTTTTAACCTGAAAATAAAGGACATCATGGAACTGCACCAGTAGATGGTGCTAAATCCTATCCTCTATACTTTTGTGTGTTTTCACACACATATAGCACAGGTGCTGGTGTTCACATTTAAGAAAAACTGTGCACGTCCCATCAGCCACAGCAGTGTGACAGACCCACCTGAAGGGAATACGACTGTCATCAATTTGATTGTTTACACCTGTCATATTTTCTGCTGCGCTTGTTAAAATGGCTGCTGTACACAGTTGGATTTCATTATCCGCACACAAGCTTTTCCTACTGCGACCTGTCAAAATGTCCGCCGTGAAAAAGGCCCGTTGATGAACGAGCTGACATCGGCGTCCTGAGAGCCTACGACAAGTATGATCATCCTCAAAAATGACAAGAGGTGGCGCTGGTGTGTGTACAATGGGGCTCCATGAGGGGGAGCAAAACCAATTACACAAAACTATTAAACGTCCAGGACTCGATTAGCATGTTTTCTAATGAGCACAGTTAGAGCGGAGTTGTAATCGACAGAGGCCACGTGGGCCACACACCGATCATCCATACCTTGGAGACCAGCGAAGGGCAGCTTGAGGAGGTTTCCAGCCGGGTTAGCGGCTGCCAGCCCAGGCAGAGTAGCTACACTGGTGGTGGGGAGGGTGAGAACAGCCAGGCTGCCTTGACCAGCGATGGATCCTGCCATACTGAAGGGGATGAGCAGAGGCTGGCCCAGAGTGCCCGTCTGAGCCATCATGCCAGTCATCAGAGTGGCCAGACTCTCCTGGGTCAGCACCTGACAGAGGACAGGACAGAGTCTCCGTCATCAGGTGCAGTGACTGAGATGAGCGACGATCATCACTTTGTATTTTGAATGTTTAACACAGCAGCTTATTTGCGAATCCATCCGTCTCCACGGCAATGATTAATTTCGAGGCCACATATATTTTTTCTCAAAATGATGGGAATTCTATAGTGAAAATTTGTACTGCCCTTGAGGTTGTGCTGCGCTGTCTGGGAATAAATATCACCCATTTGTCAAATTCAATTTGCATTAAAGACATCTGCTTCACATCACAGTTGTGGTAAATCACCTACGGCCTGTGGGCGACAGCGACAGTAATTCATGTGTCAAACTGCACGGGAAACAACGCAGGAATCCAAATATCTTTTATACTTTGATGTGTGACTTCAGAGTTTTTAGACCCTTGTATTAAAACAGGTACGTTTGCACACACAGCTGCAGCGATTCACTAATTTGCAGTTAACTCAGTTGCACAATATCCTCCAGCATCTTAACTTTCTACTGCGGTTTTTCAAGCTGCACTGTTGGGATTTAAATGATTTTTTTTTCAGTGAGTTTAAAATGTTATTATTTGTTATTTTCTGCATGATTTACATTGAATTCTTATAATTATTTTTTGTGTGAGCCTTTAATTACACTGTTTTACACAGTTTATAAAGGTACAGCCATCTAGATTTTCCCGTGCCATGAGGAAACCACAATTCCGTGACAGGAGTGATCCCCTATGTTTTCCACTAAACCCAGCTGGTCATTGATTGCACCATCTAGTGGGATTCAGTTACCGATTCGTGGGTAGATTCTACATGGCTGTATATCTGTATCTAGTTTGTGTTTTTATCACTTTTTTTACATGCTGCCTTAATTGTATTTTATTCTGTTTACTTCCATTGGGTATGACAATAAACATTTCACATTGTGATTCATGCAGTGATAGAAAAAGCCACACGTCACAACCTGAAATCCATGAAAACAATTTTTTTTTCAGCGTATAATCTTTGGATATTCTGACCCCTGCATTAAAATAACTACCTGCTCTGTCTTACCTGGGGGCAGTTTTGTACAGTGATGGGCATGGCAGCCTGGGGCTGAGACAGGGCCACACTGATGGGAACAGCAGGAGTCAGCGTTTGGACAGCAGGGGTTGAAGCCTCTACAGACACCACCTGTTGTTCACCCAGCACTGCAGGGGAAACAGAGGAGGACGGTCGTAACGTTTCATGTTTACCACAGCTGCCACTGGCATTTCAGTCCAACTGTGTCGTGGGTATGTGAAGAAAAAGTCATGTGATGTCGGGTTTTTTTTCTGCAGTCTGACATGATTTACCGAATCCCCTAGAGCTCTGGGGCAAAGTGGGGCCATCCTGGGTGCCTCTACCCTCGGTATGATCCACAGCCTGAGCCGCTGCCTCCTCAGCCTTCCCTTCTAACTTCACGTTGGATACTGACGATGGCAGAGGTGTGTCCACCTCTACCTCGAGCACACGGATAGTCTCATGGCCAGACATCACAATGACCTACAAAGTGATAAGGGAATAATAACGCTGAGGTGACCTAGATGTAAGCGGAAGGAAGTAGTCCAGTCAAGTCCTTCTGATTTTGAGACGAGATAAACGTGGAGGTATTTCAATCTCCTTTTCTAGAAAAGTTGGATCATTTTCAACATTTAAATGCAATTTAACTAAAATACAATAACTTTTTTGTTAATGTTTTTAGTGTTTTGTAGACAAAACTAAATGCATTTATTAACAATACAAATAAAGCGTAAGCATTAAATGTTTGCACTGTAGAAAGAATGAAGCAGAATTGGAATTATAACACTGTCTTATTCCAGGATTTCTGCTGATTTCTAACTGAACAATATCAGATCTCACTCTGCACAAATTATGCCTGCAGTCCAGATAGAGTATGTCTTCTAATGATTAAGCCAGATGCATCACAAAGTGAGGAATCAGCCAGTGGCAAACACTGACTAGTCTTTTGAAATTAAAACTATATATAAAAAAAATAAAAAATAAATAACAATAAGACAATGTCAGTTTGCAAACATCCAAAACATGCATGTAAGAAAAATGTGCAAGGTTTACTAAGTTAGTCAGTGAAAACCCCATCTTTTAATTGTTATTATTTTAACCTGTATTCCATTATTAAAAGCTACCAACTTTTCTAGAAACGGGGTTTGCAGATAAATGTCATTTTTAGACATGTTAAAGCCAACTTTTGACATTAACACTTATTTTATGATGTGCAATAATGAGAGGTGCAGAAGGAGAGGCAGCAAGAAGACAACCTGGAGGGGCTGGAGGACAAAATGCAGAGAGACATAATGCAGGAAGAGTGAGAAGGATGCATACCTGGTTGTCTTTGGCAGGGAATTTCAAAGTGCAGGATTTTTTAATGGCTGAAATAAGACTTCTGCTGTCAGACAGTGAATGGCTAAGGAGAACAGAGAAGCCCAGCACATATTAGGACACAATCACAATAAGGGACAAAAACGCACACAATGAAACACAACAAAAAGAAAAAAAAAACAGACACAAATGGAAAGAGCATGAGTACTACCAAACAATGACATATAAGCATCAGCCAACAAGCTTCGAGCAATGCTTTCTTAAAGCTTCCTTTTAATGCATTACTGAAGAGCATTGCTACTGTTTGCTGCCTGTGACTGCACAGAATGAAAAAGAGTAATAATATCAATATATTTCCACCCAAATCTCCATCAGGAAATAACTAAAAAATCAAACACTTTTTTTTTTGCCTAATCTTTGTTAAACTGTGCACATAACGGTCCCATCAGTCCATTGTAACAATGACTGTGACACATGGAAATGGCAGCAGCAAACAACCCTGCTAATGACATGAACAGTGGGGGTGGAGGTAGGGAGGAAGGGTCTCCCCTGGCTGTTGAGACAGCTGAGTTGTTACCTGCTCATTCACAGTGAGAGGGGCATCTTTGGCAGGGGGATTCTGGGAGTTCATGGTTCACCGTGACACAACCACAGCTACGGTGCTGCTGGCATTCTGAGTAAAACAGAAAAAAAAAACCAAAACAAAATTTTTTTTTAGCTACGAGCTAAATCATAACTGGCATTCTGAGCAAAACAGAAAAAAACCCAAAACATAAAGAATTTTAGCTACTTATAGGTTTTTATCATAAATATAAATCATCATCTTGAGCCGTTTTGGCTAATGTTAAGCCAAGCTAAGTGTTAAGCTACATGCTTCTTGAGCCGTTTTGGCTAATGTTAAGCTACATGAGAGCTATTTATTTTGTTAAGTTATCTTCTTGTGACGCATAACTTTAAAGCTTTTGAAGCAACAAGTTGGCTTTGTTGCTAACCTTAGCTGTTTTGAGATCATTTTAATTGTGTGTTTTGCTAACTTATTGCATCTGAAAATGGTTTTAGTTTTGTGTTATCTGACCTATTTGTTTTTCTCTGTGTACTTTAGTCTGGCCTGAATGTGTCTGTTTGGTAAAGTGGACTTTTTCTTGTTCTGAAACCCTGTCATACTTAGATATATTTCTTATTAAAGATTAATAAGATTACTTATTAATTGGCAAGATTACTTTTTAATTTTGCCTTCAACTTCGTTAGCATGTTAATAATATTCGACATCTAGGCATCACGTGTCGATCAAGGAGTAGAACCCAATCTTGAATTGTCTTACCTATAATCAATATAACTATTTTGGTGGTAAGGATGTGATTAAGTTCAGGCCTAAATCCCAAACTCCATAAGTCTATCCAGCTATGATTTTCCTTGGCTCGTGAGTTCAGAGTCAAATGGTGGAAGCGGAACCACATGCTTTTCTTTTCTTTCTTTTCTTTTTTTTAATTCCTGGCTATTCTTGTCGTTGCTGGAACAGACTGTATGGAGGGGGCCTATAAACAGGCCTCAGTGTGCTGCTCTCAAACTGCACACAAAAGGGAAGGAAAGAGACTAATGACCAGAGACACGGACTGGTTACAGATTCATCCGGGATCGGCACACAGCCCCGGGTGCATGTGTCTCCTGCTGCAGTGTCCCGTTAGGACTGAGGATCTGTCAAAACTTCAGCGGCTCCTGGTGCTCTCCCCACCCCCATCCTGACCAATAAAAGTCTCGCCGCCTCGGCCACTTTTAAACACGGACACTCAGCACCGAGTACGGGCGACGGATTTCATCTCGACCCGCGCCTTGACACCGAATATAATATATTTCCCTCTCCTTATCATAAATATATAAATTATGCTAATTACGAGCATTGCATATTAACCAAAACTCATTTCCTCTCGCCATTTCGCTGCTGCCGCTGCGCGTAAGGCGCAGATCCACGGAGCACTGTCCGGTTATTATAATTCAACTTACCGCCTGCGTGCAGCTTATTTTCCGTAATCCCCCGCTCTTTTACCGGCTTCTTGTCACAGTTTGTTTCAGTCACACATAATTAAAAATTCATCTCAGCTCCCAGACAGGCGCTGTGACTGCACACAAAAGAGGTATTTGCATTGATAAGGAGGGGTTGCAATGTGAGGATCTCCTCTCTTAATATTTAATGACGATGCCCCTCTCTGCAACTGTGCACATCCCCAAAAATCCTCCGCGCTGCCTGGCAAAATCCCATTTCGGCTGTAAAGTCGCGCAAAATTGCCACAAAATTGCCATTTGGCACTACGTCATGAACATAATTTATGCAAGAAAAAAAGCTTGCATTGAAAAATGTCTACCTCGGCTTGAGCGGTGCCATGGTTCTCTTAAAGGGGACGCGTCACAATAAAAGCCAAGCAGTGAAGGCAGACACTGAGCTCTGAGCTCTGCACTGGAACCATTCACATCTGACAGAGAAGACTAAAACTAACATACTTTAGTCTTTTTGTTTTTCTAATTACGCCGAATCGCAGTGTGTTTATGTTTTAATTTTTTTGTTTATTTCCTTTTCTTAGTAAAACACATAAGCATTAAACCCTATCAATATGTGGGGCAAAGATAAGGTTTGAGGTCAGAAAGTGGCACCAAGTTTTGGTTGGTAGATCTGTGATTTTTGTAAATGAGAGAAAATGGAGATAGTTTAATAAATAAATAATTTTTATTGTGTGTGTGTATTTGTAAACTTTGTAAAAAATTTGGTAATACATGCAGAGTAGAGCTGTTTTTTTTACCATTTATGACCAAAGTAACTGTGGTCTAATCTAAATTAAATGAGTTAAAATATAATTTAATATAATCAATTATAATAAATAGTACAATAATGAATGTTATTACCTAAGTGATTCCTGTGTTCTAATTCCTGTTTTGTGTCTCATTTTCCTAGTTTGATTTTATGTTGACGCACTTAAAGAATTGATAAATTCCCTATTTAAAAACACAATACTCAACTCAATTGGTTAGCCATTAATAAGGGTTCACAGTCTATTTATCAGAAGATGGTTAATGATTAATCAGCTTATCACTGTTGCCCTAATAAACTGTTGCCCTGTAATAGTATAGTATTAACATGTATATATTTCTATATTGTTTATATATTTTATGTTAAAAACGTCCAGTTTAACGTCTTAACCATTAATTGTTTAATTTTACAGAAATGTACAAATGGCACAGAGCTATATACTGTATATACCTAGGTAAATAAAGTAGCTAACGAAATGTACTAGTAGTTACACAAATGACCCTCACTGTATTGTATTGACATCGTGAAAACCAACCAAACCTGCTGGTTTTCCGAGCAGTTCCTGGGGAAGTTTCATCCCTGTCTAATTTCCCTCTAACGATGAGGAAATGTCTGTGTAATTAGCATAATTTCCAGCTCGGCCTGGCCAACAGTTAGTTTCGTCAGTCATGAGACAATAGTTTACCCCCGGTCACCCTTGAGTTGTCTGTACTACGTGTCTGACTGTAGAGGGCGCGCGAGCTGCCAAGTGACTGGAGCAGAGCAGGGGCAGAGAACGACTGACGTCACCACATCCACAACAACAAGAAGCAGAGCAACAAGGAAGTGGTTGACGCGAAAGCAGCCGTAATCTGTTCTAAAAAAGGCCGTGACTAGAGACGCAGAACTTCTTTCTTTCTTTATCTTGATATTCCTCAGCCGTCGGATCACTACACTACCATGAACAACAAAGGTATTTGTGCGGACATCTTTGCTGTGGTCAATCAGCAGCCCGTGACGCCTGAACCAAAGAGCTGTAGCTATGGTAGTTTAGCTGCGTACATGACATTCCAACACTGTGGTCAACACGGAGCACGTTCACATTAAACACGTAACAGATTTACGTGTAACATCTTTAAGACCAACGATGTTTCGAATCCTTACGCATTTCCTCATTGTTTTTTGGCAAAGTCACATCCGTTGTGTTAGCTAGCATCACTAAATACAGACGGATGTTTTAGCTTCGCAATTGTTTTGTCTTGTCAGTGACCAAAGCACGGACATTCAAATCTCAAACATCTTTTTCTGAATAGTATTTAAAGCCTCTTGGATAATTTATACATCTTGTAAAAAAGATGCAAAGGACAAACATCTAGTTATCAGTCGTATCTCGAATCTTTTTATTTATTTATTTTTGTTTGCTACCATGTCAACATATAACCACTGTCATTTAGTCTGAATTGCCACAAGGGGGAACCTGCGTCTTTTGCGACCATTCCAAGTCTCAACGTTTAATTTTTTTCTTTACTCAAAAGTAATTTCTAAAATGGATTTTCTTGAGGAAATAGTTTTTTACTACAACAAAAATGTATTGATTCTTGGATATATGTGTTTGTAAACCGTGTGTATCGTTATTTCGTTCTCAGTTTACATTAATGTCCAGTTATAACAAACTAAATTACAAACTAAAACACACCAAATACCTTTTTTTCAATTATAGTTTGATTGAAATTGAAATCCTTTTTTTAACAATGATAAATTAATATGCTGGCAAGGACAGTAAACACAGTAGATACTAGTACTAATTGTAAGTAGTACATAGATATTTTCAAAAGCAATAATAAGTTGAAGTTATTATAATATTGTATTTTTAGATTTATTGTAGTTTTTGGGCACAGAGGAAGATTTTTTTTCTTTTGCAAAAATTAAATGTTCTGTTGCCCACTGCAGATGGAACTGCATTCACTGCATTTTTTTCTACAATGAATATTTTGTTCTGTTACTAAAATTCCACTGACTCAGTGAAAAAATGTCAATGTCATTGAGCTCTTTATTGATCTGCTTTTTAATTAAATCTTATTTTGCAGGTTCATATCCACAGCAGGCTGTGTACCCTCAGCAGAGCACTGCACCTGTATACCCTCCTGCTATGCAAATGTCCCCTCAGGCACCACCCTATTCAGATACACCGCCTGCATATTCTGAGGTAACCATGAGGGGCTAAGATTAGTAGCCCACTAAGAAGACTATCTACCATCAGTAGTCCATTTTGGGGTTTTGTTTTTTAACATTTTCCCTGCATGTGTGCTCCTGCAGATATACCAGCCCAGATATGTGCTTCCACCTCAGGTGCCTGGTCAGATGCCTCAGATGTCCTCTCCCTACCCTGGTGCTCAGGTGTTTATGCCCATGCAGCATCACATGGCTGTTGGACCAGTGGGACAAAATGTCCCCATGGCCTACTATCCCATGGGGGCCATGTATCCGCCTGGCTCAACAGTAATGGTGGACAGCGGCTTCGACGCCGGCGCTCGTTTCACAGGAGGCAGCAGCGTTTCCATCCCAGTGAGTTTCGACCAAGTTCAATGTTTTTTTTTGCCAAATTAACCACACCGATCACACCGAGGTTATATTTTCAATGGTATTTGTGCCATTTTCTGTCCTTCTTGTTTCTAGCCCCCTCCGCCTGGGCACCCCCCCAACGCGGCTCAACTGGCTGCCATGCAGGGTGCCAACGTTGTAATGCCGCAGCGCAAGAGTAACTTCTTCTTGGGTGGATCTGGCGGAGGGTTTACCATCTGGTAACAGCGACTTCACCACTCCTCCACCACGCCTAAACCATGACCCCACCCCCAACCGATGCCCCAGTTCCTTCCACATCCCATATGCCTCCTTTTCCAGGCTGCTTGGCCACGCCACAATACTGATATCACCTAATAGAATGTAATATTTTAGTGCCCTCGTGAAAGGTACAGTATTTCACTTGTGACGTAGAGATGCGATGATAAATGTGATTAGAACGGTTGAAAGGAACAACTGATTTTAATGTTGTAGCTCAGTGGTTCTCAAGCTCGTTTTACACCGTGTACCGCCCACAGAATATTTGGCTCTCCAAGTACCACCAGTGTGGCCAACATAAGTACAGCAGCTGTTCAGCTGTCCCCAGAATATAAAAGAGAAAACTAATTCCAAATTAAGTTATTAGACTATTTACCCCTCCCTCCAGCCCCTGATTCCTCCCTTTTTTCAATTTGGAGCAATGACTGCAGTGTTTTCTAGCCCTTTTTTTCTACGACCACTATCTTGCCAAAGCAGTCAGAAAAAATAATCTCCCTGTGTACCACTAGAGGGATCCATTGTACCACAGGTAGTAGGAGTACCCCAGTTTGAGAATCACTGTGGCAAAAGTTATGACTACATTTTGGTCAATCCAGTATTTAAATGTAGAAATATTAGCCCCTCGTTGTTTAGTTTTTTTTTGGGCAGTGTTGTGTGACAATAAAACATGACAAACCTACGGGTGAATGCTCAATAGTTCTATTTCTACATTTGTTCTTAATCATTTAATAGTAGTTAAAATGCGTAGCTGTGTGGTAGTTTTGTGTCAATACCGCTATTATTACGACTAGGTAAATCAACTGCATCTCAGAGGCTTTTTAGTTCTAAATGTGTTGTGTTTTGCACGGTAAGTCTGTTCCACAGTGAAATGCTTATGTAAAACTTTGATGCATTTAAATCACATGTGAATTAATGAAATTGAAGGCGAGGCAAAAAAAAAAAACTATTTCCAGAGAAAAGATTTCCAAGCACTATCCAAAGTGAACTACTGTACCTTGTCGGGCAACTCGTAGATGAAAATAGTCAAGTGCCAAAGAGCACTGGGGATAGCCCTGATTTAAAGCAACTTAACTTCAGTAAGCTTAAAGGAAAGAAATCTAACGTCAATCCAAAAAAGTATGATGAATGGGAGGGGGTGGTTGGTGTAACGTGAGCTTTTAGTTTCTGTTTCTGTTTCACCGTCGGATACCCAGAGTTTAAACACAAACTGTTTCATGAACTACTGTTTTCTACGTCACACAATTTGACTTTTGTTTTTACACGAGGACGTTGCGTTTGTGGTTGTGTTAGTTTTCTACAGATTTTCCCAGGTTGAGGAGACTTCCTTTTTTTTCCACATTCAAGTGGTTTACATCAGTTATGATGATCTCTGAGAGTTAAGCAGTATCGGAAGTCATTAGCGGGTTGTACCTAAGAATTGGTCAACGATGCACTCACTGTTTGTTGTTGCTGTGACTCCATTTTCTAAAGGTCACAATTTCAGAGCAAACATATCATCAAACCAGGCATTTTGAGATTGTCAGTATCATTAACTGTCTGGTGCGACTGCAGTTGTTAGTCAGTGTATTAATGTGGATCAGTGACATCTTTGAATACTCACACATTAGATTAAATACTTTTTTTTTTAGGGCTGTCAAACGATTAAATTTTAAATCTGACTATTCTGAGTTGCTTCTGGGTAAATCCTGATTAATCACGATTAAATGGGATTATTCGCGATTAGTCGTGATTAATCATAATAAATCAACATTCCTTAAAAAAGACCAAAAAGATTTTTTTCTGTATGTTGCTAGAACAGAAAGGTAAAGATGTCTCACAGCTCAAGATTTAGCTTCACGTAGATCGATAAATCAGTTTGCGTCAGTGTCAGTCAGGTCATCACTCCTAGACTCCCTGACTGTCCTCTGCTCTGCCCTGAAGTTGAAGCCTCCTAGTCTAGGTGGTATTTAAATCTTGAGATGCTTTGATGAAACTATTTCCCCACAGTGTGTGTAAATAACAACCTGTGTATAGTGACTTTGACAGCCCTACTTTTGTTGTGTCTGAGATGCACTGACCAGTAAATCTGAGAAGTTACACATCGGAGGCTTGTCTTTATTTTTTAGGATTTAGATTTTTTTTTATTAATATTTTAAAAAACTTAAATGATTCAATATTAAACATTAATGACAAGATGTAACGTGTTGTACGTAGATGAAAAGAGTATGCACATTTGTAAAAACACAAAGCAAATTTCTGCCAGATTTAATTAATTTTCCAACACATCTTTGAGCTGCTAAGTCACTTTTTTTTTTTTACATTGCATTACATTCAAACGTGGAGCTAACTGTATGATGTGTGTAGATGTTGCCTGTGGTGTCTTGTGGTGTCGATGTGTCGCTGGGTATCCGACCTGCAGTTTCAGCTCTAACAGCTGTGGCCTCGTGTCAAAACGAACGCTCCCGCGCTGCTTCCCGTCTTTATTGATTTCAGTGTTATTGGAGTGAGCGAGAGCGGCTCTCTGCTCGGCTCACCTGCTGACCCTCAGATGATGAAGCTCACCTGTGAACAACACTGCTCCATTGATGGGTCACTCAGTGTGGATCTAGTCTTACATTTTGCTTTTGTTTACGCAGCTTCCGAGGCTACAGCTGTCAGAACTTCATACAAATGTTTTCTTGGTTTTTTTTTTTTTTCCATCTCAGCTCTGACTGTTGTTAAAGCAGCATAACCGTGTCTTTGTCCCAGCAATATAAAGTACTGTAAACTACAGTGCACCGGTCGATGCTATGCCAACCACAGCCAGCTATTGGATCACTCTTTGTTGAAGGGTTTATGGACATTTATAGTTCAGGGATTCTTGACAATATTTTGTAAAATAGATGTCTGTACTAAAGTGATGTGACGGACTTTGGTACACATTCTATCTTTTAAGATTACTAAAGGAGATGAGTGTCACTGCAGTTTTCGGTGAGACGTGTTGAAGATGGAATACTTTGGGAAAAAAAAAAAGAACTTAGGTGCACTTAACTTTTTTATACTAAACTTAAAATTTAAAATGTAAGTTTAGAATAAAGGTTATTTTGGAAATTTGAAGCAGTGCATGTTTGTCTTTCTTCCTTTTGGACTGAATTTCAGGTTTACTGTTGTGGCCACGAGCCATCACTCGTGGATTTATAGTTCAATCATCCTGTCATTATTTGAGTGAGTCCTTCTACGTGCCTGGCCTTCACTCCAACATCACTAAAACGTTTTATCCATCCATCAGTGACTTTATACTGCATATTCTTCAAGGCTGTTGAAGGAGCCAACTTCACCTGACACCGAGGAGTTTCTTTTGCGAGGTGTCTGGCTAAAGTTCAGCAAAATGTTGCTGTATTTTTCATATGTATTTCAGCTAACGTGTTGGTGAATAACGGGGGAGATTTTTATTTGGTTATTGTAGTTTTTGGCCCACTAAAGGTTTAACTTTAGGTAAAATATTTATTAATCTTTTTTGGCAACATTTTAGCTTTTCAGCTATTCTTGGCTAACGCTAATGCTTCCTAAAACATTCACAGTTAATTTGGACCGACCAGGATAAAAATAGGACAGCGCCGCCCTACAGTGATCAGCTAAGAACAGTTTACAAAATAGAAAATGTAATCACTTTAGTCCAGTGGTTCTTAATTTTTTTCAGAAATGATTTCACGAGTACATCTCCCAGTTAATTTTTTTCAGAAATGATTTCACGCCCCCCGTACATCTCCCAACACACACCCCTGCGAAATAAAATACTTTTGAGAACCTAATAAAATTAGGTAAATATTTTTATCAGTACGAACCACTGTGAACCACTATGAGTTGCTGCCATCTAGTGACTGGAGGCTTGTTCTCATTCATGCATTACAGCAGTGGTACAGTTACATCCTCATGCATTACAGCAGTGGTACAGTTACGTCCATGTGTGCCATATTCCATGCCCCTCAAACTCCCCACTGGTACCTCATCTCACCTCACTCAAGTTTTTTGGACCAATAATATTCAGTGATATTTAGAAGACTTGGCCATGTTTTAGTGAATCAAAGAAAAGGCTTCAACTAAATTACCATAGCAACGTTGTTACCGGGGAAGAAGGCCGACTTTGTGCCAAACACCGTGGTCATAGACTGCGGACCATCGACACTGACGACTGTATCACAGAAGAACACCCTGACACACACTGTATCAACACGTCCAACAGGTTTTATTGTCTTCCCAGTTTATCACAAACTTCAGGACCACCCGATTTATAATTTAAAAAAAAACAAAAACAAGTCGACTTAAAGCAAAAACGTTTGCCATCCCTAACATCAAAAGGCACGTTTGTTTTTTTTCTTTTCTTTACACAATAAAAGAAAAGCTTATAAAAGCGATATTTTAGAAAGAAATATAAAAATCGAACACTTCCCTCAATGGCACCAGAACATGTGACTATAAGGTCCGTCTGGGGAAAAAATATATATAGTGTATATGACTATAAAAACACTGTGTGCTGAACTGGAGAACCTGAAGACACAAAAGAAATACTGTGGTCCCTCAGAGCTCAGTTTGTATTTGAACAGTTGCTGAATAAGCACTAATTCTGTAACTGTAAATGCAGGCACGTCAGAGAACCACCACCTGTCAGTGTTTGCCTGTCGTCTGTCACCTGCTCCACATCCATCAAAGTAACTTTATCTTTGGTTCAGATTTTATTTCATCCATCAAAGTAACTTTATCTTTGGTTGAGGTTTTTTTTTATTTTTTTTTTAAATTAGACGGCATTTTTTTAACCAGTGGGCAGCACAAAACAGATATACTGTATATAATAAAAAAAACTATTTCAAAGTTCTTCTTAAGCCTTCAGAGACATTTTTTTTAACAAGCTACACACCGCCACGTTCAGATGAAGTATTCCTTCTTTTCGCTGGCCGCCTGGTTGCTCTGCTCCTCCTCCAGATCCTCTCCTGGGGCCAGTTCCCCCGTCGTCCTGTAGGCTCCTTTGTTGTGGCAGAGGTATCGGTAGAGGAGGAATCCGAAAACAGCCAGCGTCAGCAGGATGAGAACAATGACCACTGAGAAAACAGAGCAAAAGTAAAAAATATTATCTCTTTAAATAAAGATAGGAACGCTCCTACAAACTACAGATTAGGAACGAAGTAACGTGCAAAACCATTAACGACGGTTCAGTTCTTAGATTATTACTGATCTAATTTGTGAAATCATAAAGTGGACTCTGAGCAGTTCCTCCTGAGGTGAGGGATCAAATTTGAACAACTGAAGGAATATTGAACTGTAATGCTTAGGTGTGTTACCAGATGTGACCAGCAGATGGATCTGTGTCAAATCAAGGTTGATAAAAGAAAGTGAAGTGATAGAAACAGCAGTAGCAAAACTCCAGGTAAGTGGATGAGAAAACAACAATGGATAATTAAGTAAACAACACAGGCTCCTCCTGTCGTAACTAATTATTTGTGCTAATATAAAATACAGTGCGCAAACAAAATTAACATCCTAGGGCGACACTTTGAAATATGAAGTTATCTGGTTTTCACTGTCAGAAGAAACAACGATACTGACATGTACTGTTATTACATTATTGTACTTGTATCAGAGCAACATCCTTAATTTAAGTTATTAAAAAAAAAGTAACAAAGTTACCTGCGATAATTGCTGAATCGGAACCTGTGGGGGCAGCTGTCGTAATCACTGAGGAAAAAAAAAAAAAACAGATCAAGTTCAGGCCGGCACTTAAAAAACATTTGGTCAAATGGAACTTCCTGTGTGTTAGTGTTGAACTTCCTGTTGTTTTCAACATCTCATTCTGCTCACAAGATTCACAGCTAACAACTGATATGCAACACAAACAGTTCCGTATGTGACACCACAGTCTGTCGTTCGTTCCCTGGAGACGGTGTTTGTTCCAACAATCACACACCTGTTTCCTTCAGTTGCTTCAACTGATGCATTTATCACTTTTTGACAAAAACAAAAAAAAAATGTAATTTTATTCTTCCCAAAGTTGAATATATAAACTTGACAACTGAGCTGCACCGCCTGAAGCTCAGCTCTAGTCTGGTACATTTCTGTGTACAGCCTACAGGTACACTAAATGGATTTCAAAGTGAGGGCCACTAGGGGGCGCTGGAGTACCTTCGAAAATTGGAGGGAAGATAAGAAAACAAAAAAGCTAAAAGTTGTCATTTTATACATATTTTGCAGCACGGTCTGTGGGTTTACAAAGGGGGCGTGGTCTGTGAGTGAGGACTGTAACACCTGACTGAAGGTGACATCATCAACAGTCACAGCAGATTTTGTCAACACAGTAGAATTAGGGCTGAGCTCCAGTCGTACTGTATAACAGGTCGGTCCAGATCGTTAGAGTGAGTGAACCAGAGGCAGCAGAAACACAGGTGTGTGACTGTCTGGTCCAACATGTAACAGTTGGTAAATCTGCCCCCATAGGCCACCTTTGTAACTACAGGTCAGGGCTGACAAAGATGAGGTCGGACCAACTGGTCTTGGATTTATTTCCTCCTAGGACAGAATTCTCCAATACATGTAAATACATATAAATAACAATACATATAATTAAAAAGATTACCCTGGATCACTGTGGTGCTGGCCTCTGTGGGTTGTAATGTCAAAGGCTCCACTGCTGATGGAAGAAAAATAAACACAAAAACACGCCATGAATGATGACAATGTTGAGTTTTGACAACAATATAAATATTTAAATCACTGTAAATGCAACTGGATCTGTTTTCTCTCTGGGAATTTCGCTCCTTTGACAGCAGCAAAGACTTTTATTTTGAAAAGCATCTTGTTGCAATAGGATCCTGTCTTAGGTGAACCATGAACCATGGCCCGGGATTGGTCCGCGGCCCAGTGGTTTGGGACCTGTGGTGTACCGTGTACAGTCCATATCAGTGTACTTACTCTGAGTCACAGCTTTAAACAACGAGTCGGTCGTATTTGCATTAGTTGAATCTGGAAAATAAAGAAAATAATTAAGAAAAACAGAAACAACAAAAAAAGCAAACATATATATATACTGTATATATAATTTAAAAATAGTTTGGAGAAACAAATACATTTAAAATAAGTCATTTTATTTGGTAACTGGACTGAAACAGGCCAAGAGTGAAAAAAGTTTTTTTAAAACAGAAAAAAAAAAGAAAGAGAAGTTGAACATAAAGAAAAACAATTCAGGACAGAGGTGAATTGAATGGTAGCTGAGAAATTATTTGAATTGTACAAAAGAAAACTGTAACAAAAAAAACAAAGTGAGCCTTCGAACGCCCAGAGAAAAAGAAGATACTTTTTCCAAACGTTGTCCTTGAAAAGATGATGAATGTTCTTTTGTCAATATTTTTACACAGACAAAAGCCACTTTGAAAAGAAGCTCCTCTTGTATATCCAATCACAGACGCTCGGTGATGAATAGCCCTGCTGGCTAACACTCCACTGAACCCGTGGTACACGTGTACCAAAAGCGCAGTCAAGTCGACAGTCTTCTGACTGCGGGGAGGAATTAACTCAACATCAGATTAACGTTTCCTTCAGCAGAGAAAACTGTCATTGCTGAATTTTTTGTCGATTTTTAATTGTCTGCAGTGGTTTACACGGCTACCAACAGCCTTCACGTTAATTATTCACTTAATCACAGCCACGTCGGCATCTGGTTGGCAGCAGGATCCCAGATACGTTTTTTCTGGAAATAATGAAAAACACTTTTTTCCTAATCTCTGCTTTAATTCTACAGAGATAATTAAAAATTAAAAACGAAAGGCCGTCTTTTCTAACAGTGTACCCGTTGTTGACGCAAACCGTTGCTGTTATTAAAAATTAAAAACGAAAGGCCGTCTTTGCTAACAGTGTACACGTCGTTACTAATAAAACGAGTAGAAAGTGATTATTCTGACTATAATTCAATGAAACTACTTCTGATTAGCCTATTTGCAGGAGGGTAAACAAACGTCACGTGGTTCCAGATGATACCACAGGTGCATTTAATGACCAGGGTAAAAAACACCACAACAAAACAACTGTATCTTATGACTTGTTTTCTTCTTGCTAACAAGGATATCAATGTGGATATGTGCCGACACTTTTTCCTAGAATTGTGGTTCTCAAAGTGGGGGGCAGGTCCCATATATGGTACACAAACCTGTAGCAATTTCAGTATTTATTTGATTTGTCCATTAATAAAGAAATTGCACAGATTCTTTTTCAAGTTCCCTGGAGTTCTGAAAGAGTAGTTGTGAATATGTCAAGATGGTGGGGCGCCACAACAGCACCCCCAAGAGGACGCTGCAGAAGAGGATGCTTTAGTGCAGACCTGGGCAAACTATGGCCTGTGGACCAGATACAGCCCACTGGGCTTTCTAATACGGCCCATCAGACACTGGTACAAGGCATGGTAACAAATGATGTAACTCCTTCTGTTTCAGCAGCCGGCTACAAGCTAACGCTAAAGAAGAACTTACTTTTATGACTGATATTTGGTCCATGCTAAGCTGAGCCTGATTGATCTATTTAAAGTAGGTTTGGGTATTTAAATATTTAAAATCTCAGCTCCGTGGGAGGTGTGTGTGTGTGCGTGTTCTACTGAAGCCTCAGTGGTCAAATGCTGGGGTTTTGTTTTTTTGCCGTGGCCTGAATCATGTGTTCGTCCAATCATTAGGGAAACACCAGAAGTGTTTCACAAAGGTTAACTTCAGGTTTCTTCAGATGGACAGACATCTGTGGGGAAATGAAGCTACTTCTCACTGGATTTGCAGCATCAGCATACAGTGTCCAGACACGTTCATGGTCTCACATGTTAGTTTCAGGTCTTCCTTAACACCACCATTAAGTCAACTCAGTTAATTATGACCCCATTTCTAGACAGAAACATAATAATAGTGGTCAGTGAGCCAGATGGAGGCGCCGGTTGACGATCAGTGTTTGGTAGCATTTCCCCATTAAATTGACTGACACATAAAACCTCTGAGATTGTGAAACTAGCAAATGTTGACTGTAGACTGTTCAGGAATCTTAACGACCGTGTAAAATGACTAAGATTTCCCCACACACTTGACTTCATTAAGTGTTGCAGATAGTTATAAAACACTGCAGCATCACCACACAACCACAATGTGGTACTAAACAGCTGAAAGTATTTCAAACAAAGTCAAGTCAACAAGGCTGGTCATATTCAACACAAACACTTGAACGACCCATCCCATGTGTCGCATGACCGTTTCAAACAACACGGGAAAATGACACTGTAACAACAAATGTGGACTTACTATTCATGACTGCTGGTTAACAGAGCGACAACCTGTGAAAAAAAAAAGAGACAAGTTCACATGTTAGTCAATTATCAAAAAAAGACATAATTAATAATTAATGTTCATAATATTATAATGAGCGTGTGTACAATGGTTGTAGCATTACAGGAATAAAGTTCAAATAAAAAACACTAACAAATAAGAAACTACTACCACAGTACACATCCATTGGTCTAGCAACCTCTGAAAATGTTTGGCATTTTAAATTTCCAACAGTGTGACTAAACCAGGGCAGCGTGTGGCTTAGTGGTTCAAGATCGGGTTTGTAATTGGAGGATCAAAAAGACGTTCAAATCCCGGCCTTGGTGTGACTGTGGTGTGGAGAGCAACAGTCAAAGAACACTAAGAAAAGTTGTTCCAGAATGGGTCTGAATTTTATTTTATTTTTAAAGTACTATAATATGAATATACAGTAGAACAGACTGACACTGTTCAGGTAAGGATACCACAACACGACGAATTTATTCCTAATAAAGACTAAAAAAATAAAAGACCAAGATCCTAAAATGCTTTTCTACGCCATCTACTGGAGAAACTTGGGCATTGCAGGGGAAAGGCAGACGTATAATGGTGATATAATGTATGTATAAATATATATATATAATTTGGAAAAGTTTGGCGGGCCGAAATAAAAATCTGAACGGGCCGCATCTGGCCCCCGGGCCGTAGTTTACCCATGCCTGTTCTAGAAACAAATTACTTTGTCAATAACAAAGTTAATTATTCGTTCTTATTTTGACAAAGAACGCATTTCCCTGTGGAGGGCGAACAAACCCGCCTGGGGTTTCTTTGTCTTCTTAAGTGAGCATTAGTCACAAACAGTCTGAACTTTGAATTAAAACAAAAAAGTCATTCACTCGTCTTCCTCCAACTCCTCTTCTCTACAACATTAACCTAACAAAAACGTGTCCGTGAATTTCCGGCTGTGGTAACAACACCCTGAGTAAATACTGTTCAGGTAAAACCCCGCCGTGATTCTCACGCAGCGAACAAACAGTGGGACGTTGTCCATCATCATTATAGTTATCATCGCAGGAGCAGCTGCTGTTGTTCTCGTGTGATCTTACCTGAGCGTCTCAAACACGACTTTTAGCCGAGCAAACTTCCGAGGTAGAGAAAACAAACGCACTGCAGTCAACTGACGCCTGTAACGTAACACTGTAACAGTGACTCCTGTTGCTGCTGCTGCCGAGTCTAAAATTGTGCCTGTGTCAGATACAGAGTCAAAAAGTGCTACACTTCTCCCTCGTCTCTCTCTCTCTCTCTATCACCCCGCCCTCCCGGTACTCGTGAGTCCTGCAGGACACGCTCTCAGTTTCCGACCCCTCCCTTTCCTCTTCAATTTTGCGTCAAAGATCGTCTATTGATTTTAGAGGTTTCACTGCAGCGATAACGTCACAACTCAAAACAAGAAGAGTACTGCGGAAAAAACGTCTCGCTTCCGCAACCTCAGAGTTATATGTGGGAAAAATAAGTGTCAGTGTTTCTGAAAATGTTTTTAGATCAAATGCTTAGAGTCGTTGAGTTATTTTAATGTATATGCCAAATTAAAAAAGTTGCCAAAATGTTTTAAAATAATATGACACATTATACAGGTGTTTGGTGAGGAGTAGGTTTGTGAAATTAATTAAATTTTAGTTAGTAAATTTAGGAACCAATATTATCAAATAAATCTTTTATCTACGGATCTGTATTTTTCATAGAAATGTGTGGGTCATGGACTACAATTGAACATCAAGCTTTAAGAGTTGTTTTCTATTAAGGCTTCACAAGACATAATTGAGCTAAAACATTAAAAAAACACACAACCCAATTATGTATTTTTAATTATTAATTTGTGAACATTTCGGCAAAATTACAGACAGAGCATATTGAAGAATACGTGTGCATTAAATAATTAATCTTGTGGGTAAAAAAGATCAAACAAAGTTCAAAGCCATGAAAGAAAAAATGAAACTCAAAACTAGTTTCTTTGCATCGAAAGTGGATGAAAAACATACAGAAGAAAAAAAAAGGAAACGCAGAAAAATCACTCAGAATGAAAACTGTTGGGTTTCACTTTTATATTCAAAGCTAAGATTTTTCTGAACCCAAAACACTGGCTTTTCCACAGTGTGAACCTTTAGACAAATTGATTTTTAAATGTTCATACTTTATACTTGGTAAAATATTAGATGTAGTACAGCAGGTAGAGGATTAAATTTTTATTGTATTTACAACTGATTTCATTGAGTTAAAAACCAACAGCGTCAGATCTCTGCTCAGACCGTACTTGGACACCAGCATCCACGACACCAGTTGGGCATTTCTGTGCAGCTGCTTCTACATTTTTCATCTTGTGCAGCTGTTGACTTTAGTCTCCTCTGGGCTTCTGTTGGAGCAAACACACTTTATATTATTGAAGGAAACTTAGTCAAACACAGAGTCAGAAATATGAGGAAACACAGAAGCACGCACACACACACAAACCTTGTGTCAAAATCTTAAACGTCTGTGCTCTTGGCGTCTCGAGACGTCTGCACTTCTGCCTTAACATCCTGGAAAAGACAGAAGAACAAAAGAAGAAACGTGTAAAGAAAAGTCAAGATAAATGCTTTGGACGCTGCTCTGCGTCAGTGCTAATGAAGCGATGAACCTTGTCACGAAGGTCACTGGTGTCGGAGTTCAACCCAGAAACATCTCCGTTCTCCAGTCTGCTTGATTTAAGGCCGTCGGAGCTCTCTCCGTCTGTCTCCTCGATGTGCAGAGTATCGCTGACTGCAGCAGACAGCTTGAGATCCAAGCTCTCTGAGTCACAGGAGTTGTTCAGTTCAGAGCTGCTCTCACTCACCGCAGCTCTCTCTCCCTCTCCCTTATCATCCGATTCTGCAGGAGGCTCAATCTCTGGCACCTCTTCCTTCACAGACTTTTCCTCTTGTTTTGTGTCTTCTTTGGACTTCAGCCCGATGCCTGACGTCCCCTCTGGACTTTCCTCTTCTGCAGTAGAGCAGTGGTTTTCACGGTGGTTCGATTCAGCATCCGGGTCACCGTGCTCGGAGATGGGGTTCACCGGAGGTGGCGACTGCAGGGACACCGAGTGCGTGCTGCTCTCTCTGGACAGAGTGCTGCGCCGAGGTTTGTCCGGAGACTTCAGGCTGAACCCTGGGCCAGTTTTAGGACTGTAGCTGCGGTGAAACTCTGAGAAACTGGCCTTCCAGGCCCTCGGTGACATCAGAGTTCGTCTCCTTAGTGAACCATAGCTGCAACATGAAGGATTATAATGAGAAAACAATACAATAAATCTGCTGAGTATATTTCTGAAGATTTGACATAGTATAAAGTATCTATGTCTTAATTCCAATTAAGTCAATTAAACTGTTTTTTGATCATCAACTGTCGGCCTGCAGGCCAAATCCAGCCCACAGAGTCATCCAATCTGGCCCAAAACTGGATTCCAATCTATTCCCATCTATTAAAGCAACTGAAAAAAAATTTAGCAGTTTTCCCCACAATGTATAACTGTTTTGTTGGAGGGACAAAGAAAAATTAGCAGTTTTTCCCACAATGTATAACTGTAAGATTTTGTCCCTCCAACAAATATAGTTGTTGACTTCTGGTTTTAGGCAATGGATTAGTTGACTATATTTAAATTAGATTTTGTGGACTAAAATTAAATGTGTAATATTTTTATGTTCATATATGTAACTGTTAAATGGAATATTAAAAATAAATCTTTTAAAAAATATTATTTACTCAACATATTATAACATCATTATTTTATCTTTTATATTCTACAGTATTACATTATGTAGACATACAGTATATGGTAGTATTAAAATGTTGACAAGAGGCCACAGAAATCTGCCACGTAAGATCCTGACAACATCATTCTGTGTTGAATAAGTTTCCCAGACAAACAGCTTTTAAGAATTCAGGATGTAAATAAATAAAAATACCGTTGTATTCCCTTCACAGCAAACACTTTATCCGGATGCTGAGCCTGCAGCTCTTTCATCACATTCTGCAGATCCAGAGCGAGCTGAAAAAAAAAAGAAAACAAATATTAGGGAGATACATTTTCAACAACTGATAACCTGTGTCAACAGCTGGAATGACGCGGCGAAACCTACTGTACGCATTTCTCTGCAGAAAGTCTCTCGTAGATTGGATATTGAGGAGAACACGCTGATGTAGCAGCCAATACGACTGAAGGAGAAATACATTGACAGTAGGTGTAAAAATCTAACCGTGCTTGAATCCATATAAATCATACTTTTATTACACAATAAAAGTATCAGACCTGTCAAAAAGCACTGGCAGCTCTTGTTTCAACTCACTGTTGATGCCCATGTAGACACTTTTGGCGTAATTTACTTCCTCCGCCGCCTGTAGAGTCAAACTTTCTATTTTCAATATTCCTTTTGGGGATAATGTTGACTTATTATCAGGCTATAAAAGAAGCTAAATGGGCTTTTTTTTTCAAGAAAAAAATAATAAAACGACCTTCTTTATCTTGACGTCGTCTCTCTTCTTTGCAGTCTGCAGTGCCTCGAGGTGGTGACGAGAGGAGTCGTAGTCGACTAGTTTTCTTCTCCTCTTGGAGACTTTTTCCTGCATTTTGAAAAGTATCATGGTCAACCAAACTGTATTACCAGACCAGACCTACAATTCAACCAGTGAAGTCTTTGTAGTCAAATATGTCCAAATACTTTTCAAACATAATTCGACGTATCCTGCTGTCCTCTTCATGCTAAACATGCATTTTGGAGGTTGAATCAGTTGTGGGACACGACTTAGATAAGTTAAGTTGAGCATTTGGGCTTAGGTATTGGATCAGATCAGGGTGTTGTTATTTTTTTCAATGTTCGATCCTGACAATTTTGATCGATATCTGACCAATACCGATCTTATATCCTAGTATCGGATCCAGCCATCCCTAGTATAAAATGCTTCAAAGCACTTTGAAGATTGCAACTTTAGACCAATGACCAATGAAGAAAAAGCTAATTTGGTTTTGATTCTGTGTTTATTTCTCTTGTCTCACCTTGACATCTGGAAATTGGCTCACATAGGACTCCACGGTGTGTATGGTCTGGTCTATCAGCTTTACCTCGTAGTCATTCCAGAGAAGATCCTCCCCCTTATTAAAAAGCATAGCACAAATAATCCATTAAATATGTATGAAATAAAGAAAAACATTCAGTTTTGCTCCCCCAGGTTAAGGTAGAAATTCAGCTTCTTGTGTCTGCAGACTAAAATGGCATTAAACTGTGCAGCAGGGATGATTATCAACGCCCTGTCTCTGACCTCAACAATGGCTCCAAGGTCTTCCTCTCCAGCCCAGTCATTTTCATAGACATCAAACAGAGACTGGGTGAGACGCCTTGATGCTTCTCGCATGTCTGTAAGACCAAAAAGGATTTATATAAAACAAATCTACCACAGAAATACCTTATTACAGTGTTTCCCAGCCTTTTTTGTGTCACACACAAAAAAATCCCACATATATATGTAATGAAATATAACAATATTCTTGTTTGAATTTACTAAAAATGTACTCCTGTTTAGTTGAAGCCAACACTAATATACTGGCAGGAATTGAAGAAAGACAGATCTTCTTCAACAGCTCTGATTGTTTTTTTTTTAGTTTTCATAGCCATCTGCTGCCACCTAGCGGTAGAGGATTTAATTGCTCTATCTGTCACTCATTGTTAAATGAAATACCGTTATTGTTTTGGACCAATTAATTGAAATTTGATAATTTTCCACGGCACACTAGTGTGTTACAGCACAGCGGTTGGGAATCACTTTAAACTGTAGTCATGCAGGATTTACCGTCCAGGGAAAAGGACTCTCATACCTCGTACTGCATTAACATAGTTCCTCAGGTCTTTGTAAATTCGATTCCCATCAACCTGCAAATAGTGAATGGTTGTGTGAGTGCGTTTTATGCATTTAATGTTAAGTCAACTAACAACAGAGGCAGAGACAACTGAAATTTTATGTTTTCACTTCGTCTCCAGCATATTTACCTGCTGGTCCAGGAACAGCTGATTATAGTATTCAAACATGTCATCTCGGGTTTCCTCTGTTTTTCCTAGCTTTTGCAGCACCTGCACAAAGAGTTACGTCAACGTAAGAATCTAACTT